ACTTGAATCATTTGGATATTTTTGAACTTCATTAATAAAATTAATCATTGAATCAATATCGTCTGGAACATCACAATCTCTCCATTTTAAATAATGACAATGATAAACAGTATACGGTACCTGAAACTCTTTTAATCACATCTGCACGTTCATTTCATAACTACAGTAGTTAAAAAGGTTTGTTTTAGCATTTTCAAACAGAAAAGAAAATTTTCACTCTTTCCAAAGCCAGAATTTGGTAGCAAAGCCAAAAAGATTGACTCTAGCAGATTCTATCTACAAAAACTCAATATTATTTTCAAACGATCAAAATGCAGTCTTTCAGATATAATTGTTAAACAACACTGATACCATGTTTATCTTTTTCTTCCTCAGTGTTGTCTGTCCTGCTGACACTAAACCCTAAAATTCGAAGAGAATCTTCTGCCTCACGCACCTGTCTGTAGCAGTTATCTCAGAAATAATTACTTACATTTGGATTGGATGTTTTTGTTAATTCTAATTGTGTAACTCTAAAATATTCATTTTCTGTGTGAATCTGAACAAATTTAATATGATATAAACCGTATGTTCGTTCATCCTGTGCAGTCAATGGCCAATACTGAACAGGCGGTTGACCTGGTTCTTTGACTGGTTTTACCATAACAATAATTCGTACATTGAACTGATAAATCATACGCCAAAAATCGGAATGAGTATCAACATAGATAAGATATGTGGGCATTGGAGCTAGAAAGAAGAGAAGAAATCGAAAGTCTAAAACGTATTAACTTCAGACTACTTCAGACATGCATAAAAATATATATACAGAGTAGAAAAGTGGGTTCTATCTTTTACGGACTGGCACATTCCAACACAGTAGGATGATCAAAATCATTATCCATAGGCATGCAACAGCTACAGTTGAACAGCTGAAAACTGATGTGACTATTTAATGGTACCTCCTCCACTTCCTCAACGAGCGGTCACTGGGTTTTCTAGTTAAGTGAAGGTTCTGAAGAAATCACCTTCACCACCTCAAAACTGGAAAAGCGATAATGTTTACCAAAGTTAGATTTTTTGATTTGAGTTTTTCGTCCGAACATTCAGATTATTTTTTTCTTATCCAACATTGAAAACTGAATTAAAAACTAATATCAGATGCATTTCAGAGGTATACCTCTGAAATGCATCTGATATTAGTTTTTAATTCAGTTTTCAATGTTGGATAAGAAAAAAATAATCTGAATGTTCGGACGAAAAACTCAAATCAAAAAATCTAACTTTGGTAAACATTATCGCTTTTCCAGTTTTGAGGTGGTGAAGGTGATTTCTTCAGAACCTTCACTTAACTAGAAAACCCAGTGACCGCTCGTTGAGGAAGTGGAGGAGGTACCATTAAATAGTCACATCAGTTTTCAGCTGTTCAACTGTAGCTGTTGCATGCCTATGGATAATGATTTTGATCATCCTACTGTGTTGGAATGTGCCAGTCCGTAAAAGATAGAACCCACTTTTCTACTCTGTATATATATTTTTATGCATGTCTGAAGTAGTCTGAAGTTAATACGTTTTAGACTTTCGATTTCTTCTCTTCTTTCTAGCTCCAATGCCCACATATCTTATCTATGTTGATACTCATTCCGATTTTTGGCGTATGATTTATCAGTTCAATGTACGAATTATTGTTATGGTAAAACCAGTCAAAGAACCAGGTCAACCGCCTGTTCAGTATTGGCCATTGACTGCACAGGATGAACGAACATACGGTTTATATCATATTAAATTTGTTCAGATTCACACAGAAAATGAATATTTTAGAGTTACACAATTAGAATTAACAAAAACATCCAATCCAAATGTAAGTAATTATTTCTGAGATAACTGCTACAGACAGGTGCGTGAGGCAGAAGATTCTCTTCGAATTTTAGGGTTTAGTGTCAGCAGGACAGACAACACTGAGGAAGAAAAAGATAAACATGGTATCAGTGTTGTTTAACAATTATATCTGAAAGACTGCATTTTGATCGTTTGAAAATAATATTGAGTTTTTGTAGATAGAATCTGCTAGAGTCAATCTTTTTGGCTTTGCTACCAAATTCTGGCTTTGGAAAGAGTGAAAATTTTCTTTTCTGTTTGAAAATGCTAAAACAAACCTTTTTAACTACTGTAGTTATGAAATGAACGTGCAGATGTGATTAAAAGAGTTTCAGGTACCGTATACTGTTTATCATTGTCATTATTTAAAATGGAGAGATTGTGATGTTCCAGACGATATTGATTCAATGATTAATTTTATTAATGAAGTTCAAAAATATCCAAATGATTCAAGT